TATATATATATATATATATATTATTATATCTGTGTGTGTTGTATCCAAAAGGTACAAATTAATCCCCTCATCATTAATTTTTCAGGACTTTTTGGTAATTATGGAGTTTTTTTGCATATAATAAGACCGTGGACTGATTTGGCCGATGAGAGTTATCAATCATATGGTAAGCTTCGACTCGATCGATATCTAGTCTGAAAGAATACTCCTTGTCGATCGCCCTGAAGACTGATTACCGCCCTGTTGGAGCATCTTCTTGCGTTTTCTGATAATCGTTCAAATAATGTGCTTCTCTTAACGATCTTCAAAGGCCATGTTCGATTATCAGCATTTTCTTTCTAAGCCGTTCATCTATTTTGAGCTTCGTGTTGACATATTTTTATATGTACATTTTCATTTCCTCGATTCTCCTGCTTCTCTGAAGTTGTATAGTACACGAGGATAAGAAATTTTTTTAACATGTATGAAATAATTAAATGACATTATTGTGTATAATGAATTTTCCTAGATTTTCGTGCCCGGGCCATTTTAAATAGGCTTTGGGGCAAGGGAGGTTTGCACCATCTCTGTCTCTTCTTGCTCATTTGTCTCGTGTCCTTCTCTTTCCGTGTTTTTCGTGATATCTAGTGAAGGAATGTCGCCTTCCGATAAGGGTGTCCTTCTTAAAGCCACAAGTGATATGCGGGCGCAAGCCCGTAAGTTGGACGTGAAGCGTAAGCCGGCGAGTGAGGTATCTGCGGAAGGGGTGAATAGGAAGAGGATTGTGCCCAAGCTAGGAGTTGGCGATCATGAGAACCGACCTGGTTCCTGTTTTCTTGCGAGCTCACCCTAGGAGAGGGCTGCAGGACAGGCTAGAGGTCGTCTTGACGATCCTACGGGACACTCGCCAGGGGTGAGTGTTCCTATCGCAAGAGAGGATTGTCCGTCTAGATGGCTACTGGGGTTGCGATTCTCCAGAAGGTTCCTGAGGAGGCAGCGGGTGAGGTCGAGACATGACTTCGATCGACTAAGAGAGTTCTTTCTTCTGAAGGTGGAGAACAAGGGAAATCGGTGATGACATTTTTTCTTTCACCACATCTCAATGTGGGTGGATTATTGGTATGTAGATTTTTGCATCTTTTTTTTTCTGGTGTAGCAAATGAAGTCCTGACCGTCAATTCTGTATTGGTCGATACTGACATTGGTCCTGAGGATGACGCAGCGGTTGTGGACCAGGTTGCGGTCGAGGGAGTGATTATGGGACAAGTTGTCGCGGGGAGAGCGTATATGACGGAATTGAGCGCACCGGAGCAAGGTGCTGAGTAGGGTGTCGATGATCGGCGTGCTGAAGGTCAGTGCTGAAGGTTAGGGGACTGGAGGCCAGGGTACGGGCCGTTAGGTTTCTTCCATTGCTGCAAGGGAGGAGGAGACAACCTGGGGCACCTTGTGTTCTCTGACTTCATACTCTGCCGCCTTGCTGAGATGGAGGAGTATTTTTTTCATTTTATGGGGTATCCTCAAGGAGATGGTGACAAAAAAATAACGTGAGTTGTGTTCGTTGTGTTCTGGATCCTACGATTCTACTACAACCGACTGCCAGCCTCGAACGAGCTATAGACCATTTCTCTCCTGACCTTATCTTTTATAAAGTTCAATTTAAGATTGGTCTTTGACTGTCGTTTTGTCAAGAGTTGTGTTCTTTCTTCAATCGTCATGGTATCATCCCTGCTCTATTCTTCCCAACTCGAACGCCGCCATTATGACTTATGTGTTCTTCTATCGGGTGATGAAAATTTCGTGGTCGTGAACTCTTCAATCATTTCTTTTCCTTTTGGATTGGTCGTGATGGATATATTCAGTTCTCCGCCGATACTAAGATTCTATTGTTGGGGCTTGAGAAAAGGGTCTGCACTTCTACGTGTTTGAGGGTTCTAAGATTCTATTTTGACTGGAATACGAAGTTCTTGGTCACCTCGTGTGTGGACGAATGAGGGTTCTGCACTTCTCCTACAAAGTGCGAAGTGAAGAAAGTGAAGACCTTGCCAGGGAACATTCGAGACCATAGGGCGCTGTTTGAGGGCCAACGTCTCTCTTTTTTTCAGTACCTTGATCCCAACGTGATCGAACACGTGATTCGTCGGGATGGTGCGATACCACTCCTTCAGAAGAGCCGCTACCTATTCCTCATGTTGTTGGGCATCTATTTTCCTCTCCTCAAGGGAAAGCGTCAATCTTTCTTTCTTCATGGGATGTTTCCGCTTCAACTTCGGAGCCCGCGAGGCAGACCACCTAACATTTTCATCAACTTTGTCTAGAAGAAGAGCTTCAGAAATGCAAATAACTTTGTAGCTAACAAAAAATCCCCAGTCTTATTATATGAGAATAACTTTATAGTTACAAAAAATTCCTCCTGAAAAGTTATTGATGAGGGGGGCTAATATTTACTTTTGTAATGTTCAGACCGTTGCCTATAGATAGGGGTCCATGTAATGAATAAATGACGCAATCTTTACCGTTCTCTATTGTGCTCTCTTTCTCTTTCTCTCTCCTCCTCTCTAGAACGCTCTATAACTTGGGTCTATTTCCTGGACACTTTCCTTGTTTCTCAGACATCTATATATATATATATATATATATATATATATATATATCATGAAAAAGTGTATTTATCTTTGACAATTAAAATAGTGTTATTATTTCTGTGATATGAAAGAATTGGATGGTATGTATGTAAATGCCCCTAATTATTTTGTTTACCTTGTTTGAATTTAATGATGATGCTAAAAATTATGTTGGTACTCATTGATTTCTTTGATTTGTCCTGCTCTTTCCTTTCTATCACTCACACACAAGCAAAGACGGTTGCTCTCGGTCCTTCACTCTTAGCCTCTACCTCTCATTCGCATATGTGCCTGCTCTTTCTCTCTCTATCACTAAAAAACACGAATTTGCATACCACCCAATTTTTGGCATTGACATATCTAACATCTAATTTCTATGTTATACATTTACACCACTCAAATCTTTCATATCTCATAAAAAATACCACCATTTTAACTTTTAAAAAGTGGTACACATTTTCATGTATAGGTGAGGTGGTATGTATGTATGTACCTAAATATGTAAATACATAGGAATTGAGAGGTATGCATGTAAATCTTCCAAAGACACCCACGCACATATGCCCACCCACATCAGCAAACTAAAAAGGCGTTATGCTCTGTATTTTTTTTCGAATGTTGTGCTCTACTCATCCTTGTTGACTAATTTAATTGGGGGCATTTACATATATACCACCCAATTCCTATGTACTTAAATATTTGCCATATAAACTTTACTTTTTATATTTATACCACCTAATTTTTTCACATGATATAAAAATACCACCATTTTAACTTTTAAACATTAAAATACATCTTTTCATGGATAGTTTAGGCGATATATATGTAAAAATTGAAGTTTTTATGTTAGATATGTAAATACATAGGAATTGAGTGGAATGTATGAAATGTTCTATTTATTTATTCTATTTGCATCCCCTGCTGTATTCATGGCATGTTATTTAAGTGCAGAAGCTAATATTTAGGTGATCTGTGAAAAAATGAGATTTTTTTTTTCAGACCTTGAGAGAGTGCATGGATTTACGTTTGGCGACAGCCTTGATGAAATGAGAAAGAAAAAATGGCAGGAGTTCAAATCTAAACTAAAGAAGGTATGTGCTAAAAACTGTGTTTCAGCTCAGAGCATCTTTTTGGTAGATTTGCAAAGTTAATTACAAGATTGGATGTGGTTTAGTTTGGTTAGATTAATTATTTATTTTGGCGCATTTACATACATAACACACAATTCTTATGAATTTACATATCTAACACCTCAACTTTGATTTTTTACATTTCTAACCCTCAAATCTTTTATATCATATCAAATGCACCACTACTGCTTATTTTTTAAAGGTGAAATACACCTTTTCCATACATAGGTAAATTGGTATTAATGTAAATATCAAAGTTTAGGTGCTAGATATGTAAACTAGTAGGAATTGTGTGGCATGTATGTAAATTTTCCTTTTATTTTTTGAAACTATTGAGGAGATTTTAGCTTATGGCGGTAGATTGAGACTTGCATCAATTGATTCTAATAGAAGCCCGGTCCCATAATTATCTAGGGTCTATTTGGGGCAGTTGTAACTTTGGTTCGATCGTGACATGTATAAATACACTGATTTAGTATAAGGGTCTGTTTGGGGCAGCTGCAGCTTATCCAACTTCTGCTGATAAGCAGCTTATCCTGATAATCTGCTGATGAGCAGCTGATCCAGATAAGTTGTCTGTCTGTTTGGTTTGTGCGTCTGGAAAACAGCTGATTCTGGATAAACGACCATTCTGCCCCTATTCTGGATAAACTGTTTAGATGTTTGATTTGTGTGTTTTGTAAGCAACTTACTTGCAAATTTTTTTAGTTGAATGAATGACAAAAGTAACATTTCAATGCACCTTCAAGGAGATTTGACAAAAGTAACATGTTTAACTTCTCTCCTATTCCCTTTACTTTTCTATGATTCTCCTACTTTACTCATTGTCTATTCTATGTCCTTCCTTTTCTATTTTTTTCTTATTATGATCATTACCTATTCTATTTACTAATCCCTATTATAAATATGTTGCTCAGTGTTAAGGTTTAATTTTGATTGATCCATATTTTAATTCTGAGAAGAAGTGTAGTATTCAAAATTCGATAAAATATGAATGCATTCAAAATACATTAAAAATGAAATAACTCTCGGATTTGAAATTCATTGAAGCGGCGACACAACAACACCAACGAGCAGCAAACAACAACCTAAAACCGCATTTGGCAGTGTATTCAAAATTCGACAAAATATGAGTGCAATCAAAATACATTGAAAATGAACAAACGTCCGAGTTTGAAATTCATTGGGGGGCATTTACATATATACCACCCAATTCCTATGTACTTAAATATTTGCCATATAAACTTTACTTTTTATATTTATACCACCTAATTTTTTCACATGATATAAAAATACCACCATTTTAACTTTTAAACATTAAAATACATCTTTTCATGGATAGTTTAGGCGATATATATGTAAAAATTGAAGTTTTTATGTTAGATATGTAAATACATAGGAATTGAGTGGAATGTATGAAATGTTCTATTTATTTATTCTATTTGCATCCCCTGCTGTATTCATGGCATGTTATTTAAGTGCGGAAGCTAATATTTAGGTGATCTGTGAAAAAATGAGATTTTTTTTTTCAGACCTTGAGAGAGTGCATGGATTTACGTTTGGCGACAGCCTTGATGAAATGAGAAAGAAAAAATGGCAGGAGTTCAAATCTAAACTAAAGAAGGTATGTGCTAAAAACTGTGTTTCAGCTCAGAGCATCTTTTTGGTAGATTTGCAAAGTTAATTACAAGATTGGATGTGGTTTAGTTTGGTTAGATTAATTATTTATTTTGGCGCATTTACATACATAACACACAATTCTTATGAATTTACATATCTAACACCTCAACTTTGATTTTTTACATTTCTAACCCTCAAATCTTTTATATCATATCAAATGCACCACTACTGCTTATTTTTTAAAGGTGAAATACACCTTTTCCATACATAGGTAAATTGGTATTAATGTAAATATCAAAGTTTAGGTGCTAGATATGTAAACTAGTAGGAATTGTGTGGCATGTATGTAAATTTTCCTTTTATTTTTTGAAACTATTGAGGAGATTTTAGCTTATGGCGGTAGATTGAGACTTGCATCAATTGATTCTAATAGAAGCCCGGTCCCATAATTATCTAGGGTCTATTTGGGGCAGTTGTAACTTTGGTTCGATCGTGACATGTATAAATACACTGATTTAGTAATTTTAAAAGATGATCTGGTTCCTAGTTTTGTAAATAGTTAAGTTTTGAGGGTGATGCATGCAATTATCCCTAGAATTTTTTAATTTTTTAGAATATTATAGACTTGCATGATTTTTAAAATTCTCATGCTTCAGTGCTTTTAGATCTAGTCATAAACCATAAAAATTTATTAAATTAATTAAACCAAGTACATTTGCCGTGGCCATTTTGAAATATTTCATATTTACATATAAACCACTCAAATCTTTGACATTACATCAAACCTCTATCACTATTACTAACTTTCTGAAGGTGGAATTCATCTTTTCTTGCATAGGTTTCAACATGAAAGTTTTATAAATGTAAATATTAAACTTGTAAGTGTTAGATATGTAAATGCATAAGAATTTGTGGAATGTTTGCCAGTTTCCCTTGATTTAATACATTCTTTTTGACCCAAACTTATACTATGCTGAAATCATTTCTTACAATTTTGTTTTTTTTTTTCTCATTTTTCAGATTTTAGATTTGGAGGAACCATGGACGCTTGTGCTGGATGATGCATTGGCGAGCTCCTTTGTTGCACCAGTTACAGATGCCATAGAGGAAGACAAACAACTTAATGGTTAGTTTCTTTGTTGCTTTCAATTTTCTTTGAATTTTTTTTTCAACTGATAATAACAAATAATTTTCTCCAGCACAAAGTTTGTGCGAGAAATAAAAGAAATTATTACGTGCAGATTAAGTACGTAGCTGTGGAGCAAGGGATTACTTGATTCCTTTCATTAATAGCATGAAGTAAACCAAATGTAGGGGTTTCAAAGTTTCGGTGTTTCGTCGAATGAAAATGAAATGCAGTATAAATTTTTGATGAATTCGTTACACCTTACAGTTCAAAATGGTGTGTACTGAATTCAAAATGGTGTGTACTGAATTCGTTAGATTAGGACGGTTCTCAAATACATTGCAATTGCAGTTTGTCTTTGTTGTCATCACCGTTAGCTATTGCCAGCCTGCTACTGTTCACCACTGCCCACCATCCATTGCTGCTGCCATTTACTGATCGACGCCACTCACCACTCTTAGCCACCTGTCGTGGGCGTGACAATTACCGGTCTTTGCTTCTGCTAAAGTTTATCATGTGTTACACTTATTTCAATTTTCTTCAAACCAAACAGAAACATCTAAATTCATGCATTTGCTTTACACCAAAGTAATTAAATTCAAAGCATTTTAAATGCACTAGATTCTTCTGGCATTTCATTCTTTTTTCGGGAAATCAAACTTTCCTTAAGAGAATACGCAGTTTTGTATTCGATGTGCACGGAGCATACAACAATACTCAATTTTACACTTTGAAAAATGGATTTGACCGCGAGTACAAAGCTACGTAATCTACGCAGTCACGTCGTCGATATGTGACGATGCGTGACAATTTCTTGAGAAATAGAGATGTAATGTTTGAATTATTCTTCTTTTTTATCATCATGCCTATGAACTGTGCTGCAGTTGAAGAGTATGAGAGGACTTGGGAACAAAATGAGGAGCTGGGTCTGAATGATATGGACACATCTTCAGCGGATAATGCTTATAACTCCACTTCCATTGCAACTATCTATTAGTAAGCTTGTAATGCTTTTAATCTGAGCTTATCCAACTTCTGCTGATAAGCAGCTTATCCTGATAATCTGCTGATGAGCAGCTGATCCAGATAAGTTGTCTGTCTGTTTGGTTTGTGCGTCTGGAAAACAGCTGATTCTGGATAAACGACCATTCTGCCCCTATTCTGGATAAACTGTTTAGATGTTTGATTTGTGTGTTTTGTAAGCAACTTACTTGCAAATTTGGGGCATTTACATACATACGGCCCAATTCCTATGAATTTACATATCCAGCGCCTGAACTTTACTTTTTATATTTATACCACCCAAATCGTTTATATCACATAAAAAATATAACTATTTTAACTTTTCAAAGGTGAAATATTCCCATTTTATGCATAGGTTGGGTTAGTATAAATGTAAAAATTAAAGTTTGGGTGTTAGATATATAAATACATATGAATTTTGTGTATGTATGTATATCTTTCAATGTCTGAAAATTTGACCAGAAATTAAACTAGAAGAAGGAAATGTTCAAGGTTCATTGGTTCAGTTGAGGGTGAATTGGATGATGTAATAAATATAAATATGAACTAAACATGATCTAAATGATAAAATAGTGATGTAATAACAATAACTATAAAAATAGAACTAACTAATAGTGGTTAAGAACTCCATCTGCCAGGATTTGAAGATCGTAAAGCTCCGCAGCATGGGCCTATGCTGGAGCAGTGCTCTTGGGGCTCCTCCGCCGCAATACAACATCCTTGTGCCACAATGTGGTGCCCCTACACCACGATTCATCACCTTTGCACTGCGAGGCAACTCCTTTACACCACTTGGAATCGTGTAGAATTTGTTGCGTGGGATTGAGTTGTGGTTCAACTGGTTCACCTATCCGAGTTCGAACTGGAGGTTTTGAGCAGTTCACAACCAAAAAGGATTTTTTATATGATTCGGACTGGACTGGCCACCAATTTATATATATATATATGTATATATATATATATATGTATGTATGTATGTATATATATATGTATATGTATGTATGTATCTAAAGAGAGCCCAAAGAAAAAGACCTTGAGATAAAAAATCATAACAATGATGATGAAATTATTTGCAAACAAATCAATTATTATTTAATCTTTCTTCAGCGGAGGCCAGAAGGGCTCTCTATGATAAGCCTTATTCTTTAAAACTATAAATCATGTAAAAAAAGGGTAAAAAATCTAAATTTTAGAAAAATGGGAGGACAGTTTTTTATAATTTCAGCCTCAGCGGACTGTAACCAGAATCTGGCCATTTCCTCTTCTATCTCGTCCTCTCTTCTTCCAAAAGACTTCTACTTTCCGTCATGAATGCGCGCACCGGACTTTCTTGTTCACTGCTGCCAGTTTCCACATGCATCAATCCAAAACCCAATTTGAACTTGAAGTAGTGCTTTATACCTTCCTCATTTTCAAAACCCGTGTTAATATTTCATATTTTCGATCAATAATCAAAGCTGGGTCAGAATCGAATGCCGGAGGTTCTTCATTGAAGTCGTGGTTTATGATCGAAGGATGTGTTGAAGACGCTAGTTTCAGTAAGCCTAGAGCTGCTTCCTTCTCTTCAACACGTGTGAGATCAAAATGTATTGTTTCTGCTCTTTCTAAACCGAGTTCTATGTGTGTGTCCATAGACGGAGGATTTACTTCCATATTCAAATCTGTTTGTGCAAAATTTCCTTTCTGTTCTGAATCTGGCAGAGCATTAGCACTTTTAGCAGCAGTACTTGTCCAACTTAGAATAGTTTGAATTCCAGAATCTCCATTTGATGCAGAAACTGCTGTATGCACAGACAGATTAAGTGGATTGGATGGGAGGAGACTTGGCTCACAATCGAGATCGTTCGAAACGGCATCGATATTCAGATCGAACTCATGTTTAACCTTCTCTGGTCTTTCAGAGCTCTTGTCACTGTAATCAACTACTTCACTTTCAACTCCAACTTTTTGAGAAGGTTCTGCCGTGCCTAACTCTTCTACTCTGCAGCTCTCTTCTGCCACTGCAGTTTGGCTTGGAGAACTTTCAAAACTTTTATCAGTCCACCTCTCAAGAAAACCTTGAGCTCTTTCTTTGATCTGAATAAGTTTATGATCAAGTAGGTCTCTGACAGTTGCTAAAATACCAGAAGATATCAACTTTTCTTTACATAGAGGGAGTTTCTCTAGTGATAGAAAAGAGGCCTTTATCAGTTCTACGTTAGTAGCCGAGTCCTGGCCGGATTTTGCAGCTTCGTGCAGCCATTGATTGAGAAAGTGCAGCATGTCGAACTGAATAAGTTGATTAAGGCAGTCCGCACTTTCCGTGGAAGCTATGATGGCTGCGACGATTAAACGTTGTCGCGCAATTTCTTCGGCATCACTCGTAGAATAGTTCTGCTTTTGGATCACAGATATGAGCTCCTCAGCTCTGGATGGATTTTTCAGGCCATGTATCAGTTCAGTAAGAGTGAAAAAGTCCTCAAGAGTCACATTGCTCATAATGGAAGCAAGTCTTTGATAAGCTTATAAGTTTGCTTTGTTTGCAGCATGCAATTAACTTATGTCAAGTAATCCTGTTTAGTGAAAAAAAGAAAAGAAACAATTAGAAGATGTTTTAGAGAATGAACAAACAAATAAAATAAAAAATAACAAGGGGTGCATTTACATACATAGCACCCAATTCTTACCTATTTACATATCTAACACTTAAACTTTCATATTTATATGGAAATAATTTGATACCAGTTTTAAAAATAATAATAAAAAGATAAGTAACAAACACAAATCAATAGTTATCCATATTTAAACAAAAACTCAAGATGGGAAAAATCACGAGCAAAGTAGGAAAATTCACTATAGAAAAAAGGAAAGAAGGCTATTTTTTCATAATTGGATTGATTACACCAAATGTATTGCATTGTGAAATTTTGGATTCATATCTAATAGAATTTGGATCACAAACTTCAATAAGGTCTCAGTTCACAACTATTTTTAAAATTTAGGCCACAACATGTGCTTTAGAATGGAAAAATCTCTCTCAATCTCCCCTGCACAATGCTTTAGAATGGAAAAATCTCTCTCAATCTCCCCTTTTAATAATAAACTTTAAAAAATAACTCTGGACAAACAAATCCTTATCAGAGCCACAATTCAAATACGGATACATTATCTCAAAACCTCCTCCCCTGCACACTTTCCACACCATTGAATTGCAAATACATTATCCTCACACTATGAAGACTTTTTCAAAACATTCAGAAACATCTTGCCCATATAAAATAAAATCATCCAAAACACCAATGCTTCCTTTCCGTTTTTTTTCTGGAAATACAGAATCATAACTAAAACCCTAAGCAGACAAAAGAGGATAAATAAACAAATAAAAACTTCTTCATCGTCTGATACAAAGAACTCAGGAATCAAAAATCCCCAATCGAAATCAAAGAATTTGAATTTTGAAAATGAGACATCTCCGAAGAATTTGATTTTTGAAAACAACCAAAAAATCCAAATTAAAAATTTGGAAAAAAGTTTGATTTATTAATTAATATCTTGACCTTTTATACATTCTTGCACATAAGTCTTTAAACTTCTCTATATTCCCTATTACTCAATAGAATCCTAAACTATATACAATTCTTAACACTCTCTCTCAAGATGAGCAAAAGATATCCACTAAGCCCATCTTATCACACAACACAGATAGCTCTAATGAGCTAAGTTTGTTGGTGAGACAGTCAGCTACTTGCTCCCTAGTAGCTACATGATTTATCTTCAGTAGCCTACTATTCAACTTCTTCTTGATGAAGAACCTATTAGTCTCCACATGCTTGGTTTTGTCGTGCCACACAAGGTTGTTGGCAATGTTGATTGATGACTTGTTGTCGCGCCACTATTTCGTATGAGTTTCTTGTTCCACGATGTGCTCTACCAATAAAGCTCTCAACCATAACTTCTCGGCAATTCCTAAGGCCATGACCCTATACTCTACCTTTATCATCGACCTCGTAACTATTGACTACTTTTTGCTCTTCCAAGAGACCAAATTGCCCCCTACGAACATGCAACATCCTGATGTGGACCTCTTGTCATCAGCATAGCTAGCCCAATCAGAGTCACGGTAGCCCTCAATACATAAATATTCGATTTTCTTGAATATCAACCCCTTCGCTGATGCACTATTCAGGTATCTCATAATCTGATACATTACATCCTTGTGGCCCTTTTTCGGATCGTGCATGTAGCGACTCACTACACTTACTTCAAATGATATGTTTGGACGAGCGTGACTCAAATAGAAGAGACGATCTATCAACCTTTGATACCTCTCATGATCAACAAGCTCTCCAACCTCTATGCTCAACTTCTCTTATGATCAATTGGCGAAATTATAGGCTTGCATCCCACCATGTCTGTCTTTGTGAACAATTATAACACATACTTCTTATAAGATGGAACAATCTCCACGAGCCACCTCAATCCAAAGAAAGTATCTAAGATGTCCTAGGTCTTTCATCTCAAACTCTTCGCCGAAACTTGTCTTCAGGTAAGCAATCTCTCCCTCGTCTTCACCAGTGACAATCATATCATCCACTTACACAACAAGATTAGTAATTTGACTACCATATTGTAAAAAAGTATTGTGTGGTCGACATTGATCTGCTGATAGTCCATTCCTACAATTGCTCTCTTAAACATGTACCAAGCTCGAGGACAATTTCAAACCATACAATGACTTTCTCAATCTACAATTGCTCTTGTGAGCTTGTCAAACCAAACTCAATGAGACTTTCAAACCTTACAATGACTTTCTCAGTCTACACACCTTGCCCATTATTTGGTCTGTGTCGAAGCCTGAGGATATTTCCACGTACACCTCCTCTAGCAGATCCTTATGAAGAACTGCATTGTTCACATCCATTTGATGTAACCTCCATCCACCATTCACAGCCAGAGAGACAAGTGTCTTGACTGTGCTCATCTTCATTGCTAGTGCAAATGTGTTATAATAGTTGATGTTATACATTTGACTATACCCTTCGCTACCAACTATGATTTGTAGCAATCAATATTTCCTTCTGAGGTCTACTTCATTGTGAAGACCTGTTTTCACTCAACTGTTTTTTTCCCTGCTCGTAGTCACATGGATCATCTTTTGTTCTTATCGAGAGCACCAAGTTCTTCCAGCATGATAGTCTTCCACTTTGGATCATCCTTAGCCACCTGCCAATACTTTGGTATAGAGACAGTATCCAAAGATGTAATGAATGTTTCATGTAAAAGGTGATATATTATAGTATGAGACAAACTGGGCAATGTCATATGAGAAACTAAAACAATGAAGAGAATAACAATCAGGAGGATGACCAACATTGTTGCGAGAGGTTCTAAAGTCATGGGAGTGGGAGGATAAGGGAGAAGAATCATATCATCTGTGTAATTGATTTCCGAGGTAGATGGTGTAGGTATCTCAGGAGTCAGGTGGATTGGGATAAGAAACTTGATAATATGAGTGGCACAACAGACAATATTTCCTCATTCTACCTCTTCTTTCTTGTATAAAACCTTAGCTCCCCTTGAGCTTGTATCCCACCACCTTCAGGCTTAATTTTTTCATTTTTCAGCTCTTCCTCCATTGATACTTCCCACACCACGAACAATGCATCATTCACACATGTACCAATCTCTCACCATTGCAACTCTCCGTGTCTCATCTCATACCTCTGGTATCTAGTGAACCACTAAAGAGTGAGGCCACATCTAATGTGTAGTTTTGTTTGAATTCTCTAAAAGTCACATCTATACTCACCAACAGTCTCTTCTCTATCGGACCCCAACAAATATGTGTTTCGGGTGACAGAATGATCCACGAAAATACACTTCACAGCTCTGGGATCTAGCTTCCATATTGATGGTTTATTATTTTTCACAAAACATACACAACCAAATACCTTCAATGGGTGAATTCCGTCATCATCTCCTTTCAACAACTCATAAGGAGATTGCTACTCCAACACTCTTGAGAGCATTCTGTTGAGTGCACGACTGCAATATTATTTTCTGCATGACAGAGCCACGGTTCTCTTTGTTGTTATGCAAGAAAAAGCTGCTTGATCCTTCACAAGCAGAGGCCACGGCCAATTCCTCGATGTTCTTCCCCGCCTTCACAAATCCTTCGCGCAACCCAAGAGCCACATAAGTCTCACACCCATTAGCTCTTCTGCACTGAAGTTGTAGTCCCCACTTTCATGCGACACATATTAACCAAAGCTTTGTTTGCTTCCCTCGTCGTTCCGCAGTACTCTGTCGATCGCACTCCACGACAGTTCACTCGAGTTGTTCAAACCGACCACCTCTCCCCTCGTGAAATCGCACATAAAAGTGGCACAACGTCCCCTCTCAACTTTATCTTATCTGTCTGCACTCCTTCGTGTTTCACGATCCAACTAGCTAAAAAGAAAAAGACGACGAGGCCTCAACGAAGACCTTCAAACTCCCGTCTCTCTCCTTCTGCACTCAAGAAATCCCTTCTTTCCTGCCCCTCGCGATATAGTAGTTTTGCTCTGATACCAAATTGGGAAAAAAAAATGTTTTATTAATACATTCTTGCATATAAATTCATAGACTTCTTTATATTCTCTATTACTCAATAGAACCCTAAATTATATACAATTCTCATCGAAAAATCATACATCTCAAACTTCCAGGAGCAATAAAGAGACAAAAAACAAAATCTGAGGCAGAGAATGCGAAACAATCCACACTGGGCGGATTAAATTAAAGAAAAAAAAAATCTGCAGAAGAAAGAGAAGAGGAAACCATGGAAATAAGTAAATGGATCAGAAGACCTAATGCTGCGGGAGAATGAGCAGCTTCCCCCTTCCCCTTCTTCCCATTGCTCTCTCTCTATATACACCTCTATCTCTCTCTTAAATCTGATCCCTTCGAAGCTATCACCCCTTCGCGTCGCCATGGCCGCTCTTCTCTCACTTTTCTGCGCTTCCGTTCCGTTAATAACCGCCAAATAGAAGCACTAAACAGGGCAGCGGTGGCGTGGCGATTGAATGTCGGTTCTCTTGCTCCATCCCAGGAGAATAGGACAATTCTCATGATATATATATAGGGGCCATTTACATACATACCCCACCAATTTTATATATTTACATATCTCAACACCTAATTAGTCTATAAAGTGAGATGATATAATGCATCATATATCCGATTTCAAAGACTCACATCCAACAACATATAATTCTCCAACAATTTTTTAAATATGTAAATTTATTTCTCAATAATATATTTTTTTTATGTTTTCACTCATTATTTTAAGATAAGCATTAATTTTTTGTATTGTTGAGTCCAAATCCCTCTGGGGGACACACCCAAGAAATATAACATAAAAGAGGAAAAAACAAAGATAGCACAGTAATGAACATTTAAGGACGGGAGTCTGAGAAGGTGCACATACTGGATATTTGACTCGGGCATCCGTTATTTCTAAGCCGACATATTAATCCGGGTGGATTCTCATACCCGCCCAATTTGTAAGGCGAATCCTTTAGTAATACTTATGTAGAGAGTTAGATCAAAGTACTCCTTGGATGGGTTGGTGACAACCATCCGCCATGGAGGTTGAATGTTTTCCGGTCAAGTTGGATGCGAACTAGTTGGTTTGGATGTTAGCCGACCCGGTTGGATGTTGTCCAGCCGATTTGGATGTCATTTGACCAGTTAGATGTTATTCAACCAATTTGTGCTGGAGAAATAGGCTTGTGGACTACTCTTGGTGGGCCCTGATTTGCCACATCATGTCTTTCGTTGCTGATAAATTTTTTTGAGATTTGTGCTAATATTTTTTTAATGTTCAAGTATACATGTTTATTTTTAAAAGTAATCTAATATAAATTATTTTTTAATTTACAACTATTGTATGTTATGAATGTTGTTTTTTTACTTAATTTGATAGTTCAATTGCACACAAATTCTGAAAAGCTCGTTGGTGAACAACTCGTTTGTTAAGTAAATGAGTCAAACACAAATAAATTTTTAAAGCTCGAATTATAAATGAGCTGAATACGAACAACTCTTTGTTTGCTTATAATCATTTTTGAATTAGGCCAAAAACCAACATGGTCCTTTCGCACAGTGAATCCAATATGGTGTGCATATGCATAATAATTTTCGTAGGCTTACTTCTCATTATGAACCATCGCGTGAAGCAAACTATCCGCATTTGGATCAATGCACACAGTTAAAGGCTCGGGGAGCTGCAACTTTCAAACATTTCACCATTAGATTGACAAAAGAATACTTCAACGTAATCAATTAGTAAATACAATCATGCTGGTACGAAATTATAAATCAATAACAACATAATACATAATACAATCATAATACCACAACAATAATACCATAATAACACAAAAGTATACTTCAAAAACAAAAATACAAAAATACTATCATAATAAAACAATGATAACACCAAAATAACACTTTAACATAACACTGTTAAAAACACTAATTAGATACAACAATAAATAACACCATCATATGTAATACAACCATAATACTACAGTAATAATACCATAATAACACACACACTCTCTTGAAAGCCTATAATTCATCAATTTACCATAATACAATCATAATAACACCATAATAAA